GGCGCAGCCCCGCGGCACTGCCCGCCTCGCTCTCCGCCTCTTCCCCCGCCGAGCTGGTTGGCGGTTTGGCTGCCGCTGTGCCCAGAGCCCAGGATGCCGGGAGCCGTCAGTACCCGGTCCAGGGGCTCTCGGGAGCTGCAGCCGGGCCCGTGCTCAGCACCGCGCAGCGGGCTCCCGCGGCCCCTCCCGAGAAGCGTCACTCTGAGGGATCTGCACGGGGACCCGCCTGCCACCTCCTGCCCTCTGGCTCTGGGAGTGCTGGAGCTCACCGGCACTGACGCACCGTGTGGCTCCTCGGGACATAGCTGCAGCAGTTTATAATGCCTGGACTTTGACATAGTGTCTTCACATTTCTATGTACTTTTCTGTTGTGTAGACGCTTTCTGTGTGACGTCACTCTTGATCGATAGTCTTCTTCCAGGCCAGAAGCATCTCCAAGATCAGGGCATCCTCAGCAGGTGGTTGTGTCCAAGAAACCAGAGTTTTTCTTTATTGTTGGATCCAAACCAGTCGTGTTTCCACCACTGCCTGTCTGAGCTTTCTCATTCCAGCACGTCCCTGTTTGAGGGCCAGTGCCTGTTGGGAGTGTTTAATCCGATGGGCAGGACTCCCCATTGCCGCTCTCCAGGGTCCATCTCTGCACTTCATAGACTGGAACCAAAATCTGATTTTCCCGTGTGCGTCTCAGGCAATTCCCCTGCGTTGCTCCAACGTCCTCGGGCAGCCCCAGGCTGGCTGCGTGACCAGGATCTCCGTGCAGGGGTCTGCTCAGAGAGATGAAACCCTTTGCTTGGTTCATTTTGCTGCCTCCTCCTTTCACGTCTCGGTGGTTCTCTCCCTCCAGGGGGGGATGGCGTTGTGCTCCTGCGCGCGGGGCTCCCGTGCTCCGTTGTGCTGAGGGTGGGGGGTGGCTTGGGTTGGGTGGATCAGCAGCAGCATCCTCAGGGTGCAGCCCCTGGTGCCCAGCCCTCCCCATGAGGAGCCCTCACACCCTGCGGCTCTGAGCCCGGCCCCGGCGCAGGCGCTGCCACCGCGGTGCTCCTGGTTTGTGGTGCCGTGTTGGCTCAGCGCAGCTCTGAAGCTGAAAAAGAACTGAAAATCTTCACAGTGAGCTAACCTGTTCATTAGCTGTGTTCCTCTGATTGTACTCTGAATTTTTCAAGAGCAACTGTTGGAGAAACTTCGCTCGGGGGCATGTTTAGTCAAAGTTGTTTGCAGTGGCAGAGTTCTGTAGTTTGTCTTCTTGGGTCTCACCAGGAACTGGGGGAGAATCAGGATTTTGTATTTCTCAGAAGTTGGGTTTTTTCCCAGATATTCTGGTGTAGTACAGGCACCTCTCTTACCAGTCTCCCCCACGATTGGCTTTACTCTAGAGCATTCATTCCTGATCTCCCATGTTACTTTAGCTTCTTGGCTGCTTTCCTTACCCGCTTTCTGCAAGATGTCATTCCCTGAGCTACAGCCTCCCAGGTTTCAGCACTACCGGGTTTTTCTCCCTCTTCCACAGGAAAGGCCTGGCAACATGGGGCTGATGCTTCGAGGTTGTCACTGACAGATCTTTAATGTGCTGTTCCCTCCCTTTAAACAACACCAGAGATTATTTTTTTCCCCATAGGCCCAATTATCCACCTTCACTCTCCAGTGACCAAGCTCTTCTCTGCAGATGTGGTAACTCAGCCAGCTCTGGCACGTCCCCGGCCACTTTGGTTGTGGCTTTGGGTTGACGTCCTTCTGGCCACGGGTGTTGCAAGTCACCAGTCCTGGGCAAGCGTGGCACTGAGACTCTGTGCTTAGTGGCCAGCGTCATGTTCTTCTTGTCTTTGTGGCTGCCCCTTAGCGTGCTTTGTAAAGCCAGTGTTGGTCTCCCCACGGCTGCTTTTTTGTGCCCCGGACAGCCCGGGAGTGCCCAGCGGTGGATGGAGTATCACAAAACAGGCTGAGTTGATGTCTTACGGCTTCAGTAGGAGTTGTCCATCCGTGGGCACACGTTGGGTGAAAACCTGCCTGACCACGTCAGTACCTTTCCCTCATCCCTGATCTCACCCGGTTATAAACAGCTGAAAATCAACATTCTCCATCTGTCACTTGTCTGTCAGCAAAAACACTGCAGTCTGCCAGAACCTGCAGAGGAGCCGGTGCTCAGGTCACGCTGCTGCCAGGCAGTGGGTGCCACAGCTCGGGGCTCTCCGGGCGGCCATGTCCCCCGGCTCTCGCTGCCAGCGCCGTGCCAGGACAGAGCCGGCGGGGGGGGTCCTGCTTTGCCATTCCAGAAGGTCAAAACCTCCCACTCCTGCTTCCCTGCCTTCGAGTAACCTAAAAAATCTGAACTGCTGCCCATTTGAGTGGACAAGTTTGGATGATTAAAAATGAAACAGAAAGCTCAGGCATGTTCTGTCAGTATTTCTGTTCTTTATTTGGAAGGGAGCAGGGTGATGTGCGTGTATCACATGCAGATGATGAAACGCTTTCCAAGCCATTAGCAGCTGAAGCTGTAAGCATCTTCCAGGTGGTAGTTTTTCAGTATTTGCGTTTTGCAATTGTGTGGTGCTGGGGCAGTGCCCAGAGAGCGGCAGAGCGCTGGTGTTTGGAAGGGGCAAAGGGATGATCCAGGTCAGTATAAACCCGTGAGGCTGATACCGGTCGCTGGCAAAAAATAAACAATCAGATACCATAGGCAGTTGGTGAAGAGTTACAGAGTAGAATATAGTTACCAGCAGAAAACCTCACAGAACAAAGTTCATTTCATTCTTTGAGGTGTGGGATTCTCCTGATAAAGGCAACTGGATGTGTAGTGGATTTTGTTCACCGCTCTGTAACATCCCGTTACACACCCGGGGCGCCTGGGCGGGGGCCGCAAGCTGCCCGGGCTTGGCAAGCGCCTGCCAGGCAGAGCCGGCACCGGCCCAGGTTTCCAGTGGGTCCCTCCAGGACTTCGCTCCAGACCCGATGGTGCGTGGGGATTCCATAGACCCAGGGAGCGACCCTGGGATCCCGGCCGGTAAGTGCTGGGTGTGCGGGGGGCTGCAGCGGCGGCGCGCGCCGGGCTCTGCCCAGGGAAGGTGCAAGGGGAGACCAGAGGGCTTGCCAGGAAAAACTGCTGAGGTGGCCTAGCATCAGGAGAAAATACGGGATAACCGTGCTCCAGGATGCAATCCCTTCCATCCCGCTCATCCAAAAAAAAGATTAAGAGGTGATTTAACTAGAGTAGGCTGGCAGATTCATCAAAATCAGATTTTCTGAGGAAAACGTGTTTTCATGCAAATTGAATAATTATTGAATCAGTTGTAATCAAAACTGAATCAGTTGAATAATTGAATATTTGAAATAAAATTATTATTTCAAAAGCTTCGCATCTTAGAAAACATTGATGTTCCATTTCAGAATTCAGTTCAACCCCTTCTTTCATTTCTGTATTTTTTACCGTTTTTCGTAGCAGACAGCACCACGGCTCACGTATTGCAAATGTTATAACCTACAAACTTTTAATTATTTCAACAACCGTGCAGTTTGACCTGAAGACGAAACATCTCCAGCTGGAGATGGAACACGTAAAACCCAAACATTCTTGAAATGCCGAATTTTCCAGCATCCAGGATAATTCTGCGTCTCGGCTGTTGTAGGGGTGATGCTGGCGGGGAGCAGGGTGGGGCTGCGCCTGGGGGGCGGCACCAGAGCCTGGGGCTGAAAACCAATTTCTTAATACTAATATAGGGACGAGCTGTTGTTTCTTTCAGGTGGTGGGAACGGGTAAAGGTTTGGGGCAGCGCTGCAGAGGAGGGGCTGGATTTGCCGCTTGCCTGGGGTCGCGGGCAGCGCCCGGCTCAGTGCTGCTGCTCTGGGACTGAGGGCGACGGGGGAAACGTGCGGGACAGCCTGCGCCCCGTCGCTGCCCGTCTCCGAGTGCTCCGCGTCTGGCGGCATAGATAGTAACGTAGCCATTAACGGGAGCACTTCTCTGATTGTTGCCCACGGATAATCTCTTGTCCCTTACTTGCCGTCGGTTGTGACCTTACACCTGGAGTAGCTGGCACGTTTCAGAAGCGCCAAAGTGTGCAAACCCTCCGGTTCTTTGACAAGCGGGTAACGAAGCTGCAAAAGTTGAAACCAGTTTTTTGCAGCAGTGAAGCCTCTGAACTGCAACATCCTCATCCCCACTGAACCTCAGTTACCTAAAGCCAGGGTCCGTCTGCTCGTGCCCCGAGGGGAACCTTCTGTCCGTTAACCTTGTGTCCGTTACTTGTGTCCGTTACTACTTGCTGGCTGCCCAAGCACCAAGGGTGCGTTTTCCAGTTGATTTCTCGGGTCTGACCTGCGGTCGCCAGGCCAGCCGGCGCGGCCGAGAGGGGAAGGGGTGACCTTAGCGCTCAGCAGGAACGAGCCCCAGCGTGTGTCCCGCGGCGGTGCCCGGGGTGCGGAGCCGTGTCGGTCTGTGCAGCCCGGCCAGAGCCGACGCAGAAGAGGAAAGGGGGGAGGTCCAGCTCCCCCCACCTGCCTGCAGCCCTGGGGAGCTCTGGTTTGCACTGGCCTGTTGCAGCCTCTCCAGGGGGTTTTGCTCACTGGGAGGTGACACCCGCAGGAACAAACGTGCTAGGCTGTAAAAACAGGCACAGAGATGCAAAATCATCCGGGTTTGTGGCTCGATGTCCGTGGATCCTGCCCCCTGCCCGCTCTCCGGGTGACACCAGCCTTCACGCGGCTCTTCTCTGTTTGTGTCCTAGGTGAACGGTGTCAACGTGGTGAAGGTGGGGCACAAGCAGGTGGTCTCCTTGATCCGGCAAGGGGGCAACCACCTGGTGATGAAGGTTGTTTCCGTCAGCCGCAAGCCAGAATCGGAGGAAGTTGTTCGGAAGAAGGGTAGGTGTGGGGCCTCGTGCTTCTCGGAGCAGGGGGACGCGTTGACTCAACGCGAACGGGCGGGCAGAACCCCGGGGGTCTGCCGGGAGGAGCCCGGCATGGGTGGAGGGCCAGGAGGGGGTCGGGGGGGG